CTAATCATCTATATATATATACCTGAGTTGACTACAATTTATAATGACCTTATGAACAATCAATCAACCAAAACTGCCTTTTCCTGCACTATCCTCATGATCTCTACCGTGTTCAAGCCCATTTTGTAGTCACTGTGCCAATAGATCTTATTGCTTGGTCTTCTTTTTTTTGCTCACCTCCTTTTTATGACACATACTTTGGGCATATTGCCAGAAGGACTAGTCCTTGTAGAAGGACATCATGCTTGGAAGGGTGGAAGGACAGCATAGGATAAGAAGACCCTGAATGAGATTGATTGACATAGTAACTAGAGTAAAGAGGGTAGGAGACCGTGAAATTCGCTCAGTAATAGATCTGGGTTCAGAGCTATTATTGTGCATAGAGTTGCTATGAATCATAGTCACACATATCAACAACAACAATAACAGTACTTTCTGACAACATATTCACAACAAAGTACGTTTGATGAAGTTTCAACTCTTCCCAGCTCCTTTTTGAATGTGTTTCAATTTTAAGGGCTCATCTTTAACAATGCTCCAATGCTATTTATAAGGTTTATAGAAAATGTTATTTCATAAATGAAAGCCCAGTCCTGTTTCTTAGACTTCCTTAATGTGGAAACACCACTGAAACCCGTCTACAATCAGGGACCTGGTTGGAAATTTAAATACGGGTGGCAAAACTTCTAGTATCACAGCAGCATGCAAGTCACCACAGTAGGGCAAACTAACAAAATAGTGGTGAAAACCATTCTTAATACAGTTTGAAATTTGCAATAATAATCAATTAAAGAATGTTTTATCAATAAGAAATGTTGGACATTGTATTGCAGGTTTTTCCGAACTCTTAGGATATTTGCCCTTTGTGGTTTTGGTTGTAAATTATGTTTCTTTTTCTTTTTGTCTTTTCACTTTGCTTAAGATCAGTCTTTTGATGCTTTGGATTCAAAAATTTCTTATCTTATTTTTTAGTTGAGAAGTTTTTATTGGCGAGGTTGTCATTCTTAGTGGCATGTCATACTTAGACATACTTGCTTTTTAGATAATGAAAATAAATTTGATCCTGGTTTCTAATATTGTATTATTGTCTTAAATTAGTATATTGTGTTAATCTGCAATCAATTAACAATTAACTTTTTTTTCAGAGTGCCATTCAGTGGTCTTCATACTATTTATAGGATTTCTTTCTTGAGGTATGCAGTATTATAGAAACCATCTCCCTTCTCCCTCCTCACTGTAACTTGTGATTTTTTTTTCTTCCTAGGAAGATTTTAGGTCATTGAATTTTGCAGTTGTTTTGTTTCTGTTTGGTTTTTGAGAAAAATAATTTTGAAGGCAGGCAGTTCCTAGGTGATAAATGTTTCATTTTTAAATGTAGGGCTTTGCACAGATTCAGTCATGGCTGGTGAAGCGAAACAGGAAGAAACTGAAATTTTACAACTTGAGTGATTTGTCATGGTAACCAGAATGGGAAAAATTGCTGGCCACAACTCCAAAATGAAAGATTCAGAAGAGACACAGTATGCCTTTCAGGAGCCTCCTGCATGAGGTTGGCCTCTTGGAAAAAGTCTAGAAAGCTCCCCATATTCAAAGCAGTAAAGTTGGCCATCATCATTGAGTGGGTGATGCCATCTTTGATGAAATTACGCTAATTTGCATTTTCTTTTAAACCACTACACCAACACCTACTTGCAATAAACAATCATCTCTATTTGTTGCATATTCAGCTTTTATATAATTGAAAAATCTTTGAGCTTTTTCTTTAATGCTTTTCTTTTTAAAATTTTACCTGAGTGAATGTTTATAAATCATATTGCATTTTCATTCAATTATTCATAGCCATTTTAAAAATATTATTATTTTGTGTGTGTGTACTGTCAAATCGGATCTGATTGGTACAGGAGATTGCCCTTCCTTCTCCAGCAAAGCATCTGGTGGATTCGAACCGCACACCTCTCGGATTTCAGAGCAACTTCTTGCCACTAGGCCACCAGAGCTCCCATGTTTTTTATACGTAGCTTAAAATTGGTAAATGTAATTAATTATAAAATGTGAGCCTATTCGTGCACATAAGACCAAAACCACTGCCATCAACTTGATTCTAATTCATAGTGACTGACTCTCCATAAATCTCCAAAGCTGTATGTAAATCTATAGAAGAGGAGACTAGTAACATGGCATGCTATACACCATGCCACCAGGATAATTTTTCTTGCACTGAAGTAAGTCTATACCTTGGACATACTTTTGGCATGTAGGGGCTAGACCTTAAAAAAGGACAATATGCTTGGAAAGGTGGAGACTCAACATAAGAGAGGAAGACCCTCTAGGAGATCAAGTGACAAGTGACTGTAGCAAAGCATTTAAGCACAGTAGAGATTGTGAGGATGGTATATCATGGGGAAAAGTTTGGATCTCTTTTACATAAGGTTGCTACGAATCATGGTAACTCAGGGATACCTAACTACAACAGCAGAAACAACAAAGTAAGGCTAACCAGGAACTGCATGCATCTACTTCAACTCACATGCACATTCTTAAAGACATACATAGGAACGGATCTTATTCAAGAGCTGGGAATTGCCTATATATTTATATATAAATTCAAGTTCTTTTTGTTATTAGTATGTCTTTGGGCAAGTTATAAATCTCTGTTAAAAAGCCAGAAAGGACTCATCTTCTACAATTTCTATGACTATTACAATGATATATAAAATTGCTTGACATATTAAGTAGACACTAAGTGCTCATTAAATGACTAATATTACTATTATACTGAAAATGGCATTTTATCTCTTAGTAATCGATCATCAAATAAAAATATAATTTTTAAAAAAATATAGGACAGCCCAAGAAGGCAACATATTCTAATGAAATATACAAAAATTTGTAGTTTGAAAACCAAAAGGGAACAATATGCTCAGCATTTCTTATGAAAAAAAAAACAAACAAACCCCGAAGAACAAAAGAAAAAAAGAAAAAACAAGAAAAAGAAAAAGAAAATATGCCCAAATTGTTAAGAAAAAACAACTAGCAATGTAAACTTTCACCCAAATTACAAAAATTGTTTAAACAATCAATCAATATATTTCTAGAACTTACCCATATAATTTGGAATCATATATTCTACAAGTTCCTTGCTTTCCACAATTGTCAATGGACCACTTCAAACATGTTCTATCAATCAGAGCTCCAAAATATATAGGAGACAGAATTCCTCCTGCAGCGTAAAATGAGAAGATATTAACCAGAGGAAGACATTTCAAAATTAACTAAGTAATGCTCCATTTTGATATGTTGAATTTTGTTTTCCCAGAATTTTTGTTTTCACATCCTTTACTTAATAACATATCAAAGGCCAATGAAATTTTACTGGATGTGCACTGGTTTCTACACTAAATTATGATTCACTCTATTTAGGCTTCATAGAATAAAAATTTTAAAAAAGTCATTTTAGGCAGGTTTGCATAACTTAGAAACTGTTTTTATTTAACTGTTTATCCCCAGTACAAAGTGTTACAAAAGTACGTTTTGTGTCACATATATATATTGTTATTGTTAGGTATTGTCCAGTTGAGGACACGTCATAGCGAACCTATGAACCTATGAACAGCTGACCTAAACCCTTCCCTATCCTGTGCTATCTTCATCTACTCTAATACCCTAGAAGCCATTGCTGAAGTCACCATGTATTTATACATAGAATTATCTATGTGTATGTGTGTTGTTGTGCGCTGTTGAACTGGAGCTCATTCATTGCTGACCCTTATATGTGTTCTCAGAAGCTGTAAATTGCATAGAAGATTACTCATCTTTTTCTTGTGGAGTAGCTGGTAGGTTCATATTGTCTGCCTTTGGATTGGCAGTATAACTCCTTATTAATAGGCAATAAGAGCTCCCTCTATATATTGTCATTGTTGTGGTGTGCCATAAAACTGGAACTGTGCATAGTTGACCCTCTTGTGGATTTTCAGAGGCAGTTAATCTCATGGGAAGGAGATTGCCTGTCTTTCTCCTGTGCAGCAGCTGGTGGCCTCGAACCACTTGCCTTCAGGATTACAGCATAGTTTCTTGCCACTTGGCCATGAAAGCCCCCTTTTTATATGTGTACATACATTACACTCACTCCCACATGCATAAATATATACACATACATATGTAAATATATATACCATCTAGTTTGATTCCAAACCTACTGTGCTCCTTAGGGTTTTAAAAAGTTGATATTTTTTGCAAGTAGATCACTCAACAGATAAACCACAGTTTCTATGGCCTTACCCAGAAACCTCTGACAACTACCAACCGTTGCCTTATCCAAGATTGTAGTTGTGAAGAACAGATAGTAAAAATGGGAAGAAAAAACGAAAATATGTTGGAATATAGAGTAAAAGTTAAAATCTTGTAGGACTCTAACATTTCTATGGACTAAATATTCCTTAGGATCAAATAATTAGCAATTTCAAAGACTCAAACCATAGACATTTTAAAAAATAACTTTTATCTACCGCTCGATGCAGAGCAGATAATCCAGGAGGCTGGGCTCTATGAGGAGAATTGTGGCATCAGGATTGGTGGAAGATCTATGAACAATCTGCGTTATGCAGATGACACAACCCTGCTTGCTGAAACCGAGGAGGACCTCATGCACTTGCTGCAGAGGGTCAAGGGCTGCAGCCTTCAGTATGGGCTGAGGCTCAATGTCAAGAAGACAAAGATTCTCACCACTGGACCAACTGGTAGCATCAGGATGAATGGTGAAGAGATTGAGACTGTTCACAGCTTCAGTTTGCTTGGCTGCACGGTCAACACTCTTGGCGGCAGCAGTCAGGAAATCAAAAAAACGTATTGCGATGGGCAAGTCTGCTGTTAGGGAACTCTCCAAAGTACTCAAGAGCGACTGTGTCTCTCTGGAGACTAAGGTGTGCCTGATACAGGCCATGGTCTTTGCAATCACTTGTTATGCATCAGAGAGTTGGACAATGACTAATGACTAGGGAGGATAGAAGGAGAATTGATGCCTTTGAGCTGTGGTGCTGGAGAAGAGTATTGAATGTATCATGGACTGCCAAGAAAACAGATTCATCCTTGAGAGGGTTAAACCAAGCTTACTCCTTGGAGGCAAGGATTCTGGGGCTTCGTCTGACATACTTTGGGCATGTTGCAAGGAGGGACAGGTCCTTGGAGAGGAACATCATGCTTGGGAGGGTGCAAGAGGGGAAGACCCTCTATGAGATGGATTGATTCAGTGACTGGGGTAATCGGGGTAGGTGTGCCAGAGGCAGTGCGATTGGCACAGGATAGAGCAGGGTTTAGGGCTGTTGTACATGGGGTCGCTTTGAGTCGCAAACGACTCAACGGCACTTAACAACAACAACAACAACAACAACAACAACAACAACAACTCTTCCATTACCCAAGGCACAAATGGAAGAAAATAAAATACTGTGTGGAAGTACACTCTTCTATATTATAAATTTATATGTCATTGATAATCATTTGTCAATGTTGTTGTTGTTAGGTGCAATCAAGTCGCTTGTGACTCATAGCGACTCTACTTATAGGAGCCCTAAGTGCTTTCTATCCTGTGTCAACCTCGCCATCTCAAACACACTCATTCCCACCACTCCAATCACAGAATCGATCCATCTCATGGAGGGTCTTCCTCTCCTGCGCCGTCCCTCCACTCTCCCAACCATGATGTCCCTCTCCAAGGACCAGTCCCTCCTTGCAACATGCCCAAAATATGTCAGACGAAGCCTCAGAATCCTTGCCTCCAAGGAGCAGTCCGATTTCACCCTCTCCAGGACAAACCAGCTTGTTCTAGCAGCCCATGGTATATTCAACGCTCTTCTCCCATACCACAGCTCTCTTTCTATAATCCCTATTCACTGTCCAATTCTCCGATGCATAGCACATAATTACAAAGGCTATAGCCTGGATCAGGTGCACCTTAGTCTCCAGCCTGATGTTGTTGCTCTTCAGTACTCTTGAGAGGCCCGTCACAACTGACTTTCCCAAAACAATTCATCTCTTGATTTCCTGGCTGCTGTTACAAAGAGTGTTGACTGTAAAGTGGAGCCAAGTAAACTAAAATTGTTAACTATCTCAATCTCTTCATCATCCATACTGACACTGCCCAGTGGTGAGAATCTTTGTTTTCTTGATGTTGAGCTTCAATCCATAGTGAAGGTTGCAATCTTTGACCTTCTACAGCAAGTGCGTCAGGTCCTCCTCAGTTTCAGCAAGCATGGTTGTTTCACCCGCATAACGCAGCTTGTTGATGATGATTCCACCAATCCTGATGCCACATTCCTCCTCATTCAGCCCAGCATCTTGGATGATCTGTTCTGCGTACAGATTGAAAAGGTGTGGAGACAAAATACATCCCTGACAAACCTGCTTCTTGATTTTGAACCATGTAGTGTCTCCTTGCTCTGTTCTGATGACTGCCTCTTCGTCCAAGTATAGGTTTCTCATTAGCACAATCAAATGTCTGGGATTCCCATTCTTCTTAGAGTCAGCCACAGCTTGTTGCGATCCACACAGTAAAAAGCCTTTGCATAGTCAATGAAGCACAGATAGACACTCTTCTGGTGTTCTCTGCTTTCTGCCAAGATCCATCTAATATTAGCTATAATATTCTTAGTACCACGACCTCTTCTAAATCCAGCCTGCACATCTTGCAGTTCTGTTGACCTATTGTTCCAAACGTTTTTGGATAATTTTCAGCAGAATCTTGCTTGCATGTGATATTAATGTTATTGTTCGATAATTTCCACACTCTGTTGGGTCACCTTTCTTTGGAATGGGAACAAATATCGATCTTTTCCAGTCAGTTGGCCAGCTGGCTGTCCTCCAGATTTCTTGGCATGTTGGTATGTTGTCAACTCCTGGAGCCTTGTTTTTTGCCAGTTTGCTCTTCCTCTTTTGTTATTTCATGAAATTCTTCTGTGTCAGCCAATTCCTTTTGATAGAGTGAATCTTTTTACTCCTTCTATCTTCTTTTGATACTTCCTGGAACATTTAACATTCTACGCAAAGTATCTTTAAGTATTGCCACCTGTGGCTTGAATTTGTTTTTCAACTCCTTCAGCTTAAGAAATGCTGAGCGAAAAAAAAAAATAAAAAAAAAAGAAAAAAAAAAAGAAATGCTGAGCGAGTTTGGCCCTTTTGATTTTTTATTTGACTCAGGCTCTCTGCACATTTCTTTATAGTATCTTGCTTTATTTTCCCTAGCTGCCTTTTGAAATTTTCTGTTCAGCTCTTTTATTTCTTGGGGTTTTTTTTTGTTGTGTGTGTGGGTTTTTTTTTTTTTCCTTTAGCGTTGGCTTTTCGGCACTCTAATGCAATACTCAGAGTCTCATCTGACATCTGTCTTGGTCTTTTCTTCTTTTTCAGCCTTTGTAATGATCTTTTGCATTCTTCATGGACAATTTTCTTGATATCCTCTCAGAGCTCATTTGGTCTACCCTCATTGGTGCTCAAGGCCTCAAACCTGTTCCTGAGATGGTTTTCAAATGCGAGTGGGACAGACTTAAGGTCAAATTTTGGTTCCCATGGACTTGATTTAATTTTCCTCAAATTACACTGGTTTTATATAATCTTTAGAAATGAGCATGAAGTAGCAGTATAGTTAGAATAGAATTATAACTTCACAGGGAAAAGAACTAGTTATGAATTGAAATGCTGCAAAGGCAAAAAATTTGGGGTTGGGGTTGTTTATTTCTTTTCCCCAGATGACACAACTCTGCTTGCTAAAACTGAGGAGGACATGAAGCACTTGCTGCAGAAGGTCAAGGACTGCAGCCTTCACTATGGATTCTCACCAGGGGGCCAATTGGCAGCATCATTATGGATGGTGAAGAGATTGAGACTGTTAACAGTTTGTTTGGCTCCATAGTCAACACTCTTGGTATCAGCAGCCAGGAAATCAAGAGACAAATTGCATTGTGAAAGTCAGCTGTCACAGACCTCTCCAGAGTACTGAAGAACAACAATGTCAGCCTGGAAACTAAGGTACTCTTGATCCAGGCCATAGTCTTCGCAATTGCGTGCTATGCATTGGAGAGCTGGACTATAACTAGGAATGATAGAGAATTGTTGCCTTTGTGCTGTGGTATGGGAGAATTGTGTTGAATATACCATGATATTCTAGGAGAACAAACTGGTTTGGCCTGGAGAGGGTGAAAGCGGGCTGCTCTTTGGAGGCAAGGGTTCTGA